AGGAGGTTCGGCGACGCTTGGTAGCGCTAGGGACAGGGAAGTTCTGAGGACCAGTCGAAGTGACGCGAGAGCGTCCGGACCCTCTATTCCATGAGCTATGAAGCAGCCAGGTCAGTGTTAGTTTCTCCTGGGCTGGGGTTCTTGGTGACAGCCGCAGAAGAGTATCATGCCACGTGGAAAGCCGAGGTACACCGGTTAGACGCCACGCTGGGATTCAGTCTTGATATGCGTACTAGGACGCGACTGCTGGTAACCTATCTTTTCACCAGGCTTTTAAATTTGATGAGTCCCAGGGCACACACTTGATGAAACTTGTGTCCAATGATGTAGCTTTTCTTATTCTTGATTTCCAACTAGCAACTACCTTGTGACTTGCTCCAGAAGACTGGGAAAAAAGCAATAGGTAACAACAGTTTCTTTTTTTTTTAATAACAGATTATTAGCCGCGGAAAAACCAATTTCTGCTCTAACAAGCAAATAAACATTAAGCAACAAAATGCTGAGAAAAAAAAGTAGCCTGTATAAATGGAAACATAAAGGAACAAAATCGAGCAGCGATCAGTTCTGCCTGGTTACACAGAAATGCACTCCCACAGCTTCGGTTGGCTGAACACAACCACACAACTGTTGGGAAACAGTTCAAAACCCTCTCAAGGACTTCAGCAGAATCTAGTGAACGCCCAAGCGTATCTGAGAACAGTGTTGGATTTCTTGCTGGGGTGGCAATTCTCACCACCTTTGCATGCATATTCCGCCACTCTGAGCCCAGGCGTGGACTGGTTTTATTTGCTTTACTGGGTCACTGGCTGACTAGGTAGAGGCTTTGATTAAGGGACACTTCTGCTGTGGTTTGTAGCCATGGATTTTCCCTTAGTTCCATTTCTACAATGGATTAGGCAAACTGACCATTTAGCAATGTGGTCTTCCTAAATCACACTGAAGTCACTCTTAGCACACTTCTAATCAAAAAGCACCAGGTGGGTGGAGGTAACCTTAGACCCTAGCTTGGGCACAAGCAAATTTTTTTTTTTTTACTATATTAAGTCATCAGGGTTTAAGACACTTTCCTATAAGCATCAGAAAGACTCTCTAACTGAATTTAGAAAGTTAAATTCTCTAGAAGAATCTTGGAAAAAGGAGATGATTAGTTTTCAACCTTCTGATATATTATTTATCTAAGTAAACCAATGAATTCTCTTTGACCCCCCCTCTCCCAAAGAGAAAGTGAAGACATTGGTTTTTCTGTGCATATGTGTGTTTGGTTTTTCTTTTTGCCTGTTCTTATCCTTTCTCCTGTTCTTTTGATAACTTACGTTTCAGTTTGTCACAAGTTACCCAAAAATAAATGCAATAAGAAACACATGGAAATTATGCACTTAAGGCTTGCATTCCAAACCTCATGCCATGTCTGTAGCAGGGTGGACTGTTGCCTGAATTCAGGAGTAGATGACATCTGTTAAATGTCACACACCATCACGTTGTTGTTTTACTTTACATAGAACATGGGAGCCATCTGTCCTGAGCCCCCACCACCATCTCAAATCTCCCCAAAGCATCATTCCCCTTTCCAGGGGAGGAGCTGGACTTCCTGATGCCACCCACTCCCCTCCTGCCTCCTTCGAAACCCCATCCCTCCCCACTCCCCAAATGCCTCCATTCAAGGAGCTCTGCCCCAACGAATACACTGAGGACTCTTTGCTTCTGAAAATTTCTTCCTTTGACTTCCTACCCTCCCAAATCTATTTTCATACATTCTGTTCACCAGAGGTAATGCATGTGTGGGCTCTGGTGCCACCATCATCTTATTATCTTTGTTTAACCAGCTGTAGTCATTTGTACCTGTCTATAAAATTTCCCAGGTCACAAAATCAAATTACTTAGTATTATTTTTTAATCCATTATTCTCCTAGGCTTCCTGCAGCACTCAACCCTCTGATCATCTTCCTCTTGGCTTACACCACTAGACTGGTTTTTCTCATTCCTCTAGAGCCAGTCCTTTTGTCTTTTTTGCTGACTTCAATTCCTCCTCCTTCTCAACTTGTCCTGAAACTCTCTCCTCTGCAAATTTTAGGCCATAACCTTTCTATCTCTACTTGGTTTCCCACAGCCCTCATTTACTATTCTCTCCATCTAAGTGACTCCTAAATCCAGAATCTACATCCTTGACCTCAGTCCTGATTTCCACTGATTCATTCTCAATGGTCTCTGTATCTTTCTAGCACGATGCCCTGCTATTAACTCAATATGTCCCAAACCAGCTCCATCTCCAAACTTGCCTAGTTTTGAATTCTTCTCTTATTCACATAGACTCAACATCTATCCTTTCCTCTTCTTTGTCATCAATGCCCAAATCAATGTTCCTAAATCTTGTCAAAGATTATTTTACTTCCACTCTCTGAATTTTTATTGCGTTAACTCCTTTCTAGACCCTCATTCATATCTAAACAGTCTCTGAACTGCTCGTCCGATTTCTGTTCCAATTTACCCAACACAACTTGGCCAGGTAAGTCTTCTAATACACAACTACTTTACACACACCCCTCCCGTGCTCAAAAAACTTCACTAGATTCCCCGTTTCTACGTAATAAGAAACTAACTCTATTTCCCTCCCTGACCACCCCAGTCACAACCTGAGCTCTCTCCCATCCCATTTTCCACTTTTCATCTCTATAACTCCTATGTCCAGCCAAAAAAGAGTTAAAATGAGTTAAAATGTTTTATGCTCTCATGCAATATGAAAGTTGTTCACTTTCTCTCTAGAACACCTTGAACATTTCTTTCTGCCTTTGTTCTTGGAGCTCTCTGCCCAGAGTGACTTCTCCAGTCCTGACTAATTTAATAATTCCTTTCTTCCAAGGCCCCGGTTGAGGTCTGCCTCCTCAGTGAAGCCTGTTCCACCTGCCCTGGCTCCCAGCTTGCCTGGCCTCCAAACCTCACCAGGGGCTTCGGAGCTTGCCATGTGTCCCGCCTTTAACACAGGCTAGATGTGATTTATTACTGTAAACGTGTCTCTTCAATCTGGTATGAATTACTTGGTGGCAGGGACTTTGTCTTCTGTTTCTCTCTGGGTGTCCGTAAAGTCTGGAGCCATTGATTATTGTGTTTGTTTACAGACTGCAGATGTCCTCGATGACACACATGCATTGCCTGCATGTTGAACTTGACTGGCTTTAGGTACATTGCACCTGCTGCTACAGTGCCTCACACTGGGTAGGCATTCCAGTGAGTTAGCAATAATGCCTCATTGCCAAACTCTTTCCTGTGATGGCTTAGGAATGAATGAAACCAACTATGCAATGACAGAATTCAGAGAAAGAGGTCAAAATGTGATTAAAAAGAAACATTGGATCTACTTTCCCCAGCAAATTCCAGTGTTGTTTCTCTAAGGAGACTGCCGCCACCACCCATGCATGTTTTGTTACAAACCATCTTTCTATGCTTGGCTCTGAACACAGAGCAGTAAAGACTTCTCTGTGAAGCTTTTCTGGACCCCCTCTGGCAGTTAAATGTAACAACAGCACTTACTACATGTACTGTTGTTTCTACTTTGTCTTGATTCCGCCTCTGACAGTGACCTTCAGGGGCCAGAACTGTGTCTTGTTTATGCAAGTGTTTAATAATTACTTTCGAAAGAAAAATAAGAGAGAACAATAGCAGGCAGCATCTCAAGGTTTACTCTCTGCTAAGCATTGCACCAAGCACCTCATCTGCATTATTTGATTTAAATCTTACAACACCATGTTACTTCCCCCAATTCAAATGAGGAAACTGAAACTTTGGAGAGGTTAATCAATTTGCCCAAGGTCACAAGGCAAGTGATAGTTTTCCTCTAGGCCTATGTGCTTAGATTCTTGCTACACTTAATGAATAATGAATATTGACCATCTTACTACCCCCTCAGTGGAAAGGGGGTCTCTGGGTGTCACTTGGAATTAGAAAGTGGGACTTGATAGTGTTAAATCATCTGTAGACCGTTGTAAAAGGACCTCTGGGCCCTACCCAAAGCCAATAAAAGGAGCTTCTCTGAGGTGGCGGCATCAATATTTTGTTAAAAGCATCCAGGTCATTTTAATGTGAAGCTGGGTTGAGACTCGCTGGCCTGGATTGATGTAAAGGCCTTTCAGTGCAAACCTTTCATGAAACTTGGGCCATAGTGGGATTGCCTTCTTTTGTGACTAAGACCCAAAATTCTGAGAAAAGCCTAATGACACTAGTCTGGGAATGTATTATGAACCATGTAGGGATAGAAGACAGTTGCCCATAGAAATAGGGTAGGAGGAAGATCCCAAGGGAAAATTATCTGATTAAAGTTGGCTGAAGATGGGTACCTTGATCCTGTATATGGTCTAAAAGAAGCACTTTACCATTACAAGTGGGGATATGAACTGTGGCTTAATAAGGAAGTTCCCTGTGTTTCATCACGAGTGAAATGACCTATTTTAATTCACACCTCACCTCCTTTGAGATTTCCCCACAGGATGCAGGAGGCAACTATCTGTCTTCAGGATTGGGATGTAAAGAAAAGATGCAGCTATGTTGTTGCAAGAATCAAATGAGAACATATTGGCAAGAATCTTTTGCATACTCTGATGCAATATATAAAAATATATATTGTCAGTTGATCTTCATATATTGTACAAAGTAAAGATGACTCCTGCTTTATCAAAGACTGTTCTATATGGATGAAGTCATGATACATGTATAGTTCTGCTATTTCTATCTTGCATAATCAACAGTTTCCTTTGTATTTAAGAAATTTGTCTCTTTCATCCATCTAGTAGCTTCAGACTTCATCCTATTCATATGGGCAGGCTTATAAAGTATAATACATCTCCAGGTTAAAATAAAAATATTTCCCTTGAGAGAAATATGAGAATATGAGAACTAAAATTAAGGAGACAGAAAATGCAGTGTTCTCCATTGGGATGCTATTTGCAGACCCTTTGAGGTACACAGTAGTCATCCAAGATAAACCTGGGACCTTGAGAAAAATACACTGACTTTCTTTTTTTCTCTTTATCCTTCATCCTCCTTCTTACCACTCTGTCACCCTGAGGGACGACTTGGACATCAGTTGTTCTCTGATTAGCTGACGAGAAGACAGATTCTGTTTAATATCAGAGCTGAAGAAACAGTTCGAACTTTGACACAGATTGCCAAAACAAAGTACAAATTCTTTAGAATTTATCAAAACAGTATGTTGAGGGTCTTTTTACTTTTTGGAGTAAATATGACACAATGGCTAGCTTTAGAACAAGCTAACATTACTATAATTCAGGCATGTGCAACTGGTACAGTTCAGTAGTACATAAACGACTCAAACGAATGTACTCTAGCCCAGAAACTTAAGTTACAAAAGATAGTCAATATTACAATTAATACAGGTAAGTAAAAACCATTGCTGTCAGATTCTGCACACTTAAAAAAAACCATAAACTTTATACAATAATCAAAATCACGCATTTCTACTCAGATTAATAGGGCATATTACAAACACACAAAAGCCTAAAAAGTTATGGTCACATTTTGGTTTTGTTCCAGTGATGCACAATCACATGAAATGTTATATCCGTCTCGTGTGAAATAAACATTTGGCTGAAGTGCTGTGTAGCTGCTGGATTAAAAATATTTCCATAAAAATGTTTAGATGAAAATAATCCCAAACATCTCAGTGTTTACGATTATTTGGAGAGTCCTTACAAAGAGTCCTTATCAATTGTAGAAGGAGAAGCAGTTAGGAAATTTCAGTGTATTTCATCTATTTTTTTTTAACATGAGTAAACAAATACTGGATTTAAAGTGCAGCTTATTTCTCCTCCCTTCGATTCTCCCTCCCCAAGAAGATCAGGTCTGTATTCATTTTTAGAATCTCCACGGAAAGTTGGGAACAAATTGAATGACAGTCATGTCTGTTTGTCTCGAAAGTCAGTGATGGCTTTCCACAGTGTGCACAGCATCCCTCCCCTGTGTAAAGACACAAGAACATGGTGAAGAGAACACTTCATTTGAAACAGTGCCCTTGTAGTAGGAAAGTGACTCCTTAGCTTTCACCAGCTCTGATCAGAATACGAAAAACCCAAAGTCTTATCAGTCATGTATTCTTTTTGTATATATTTTCTCATCAGCCCTCCATGCAGTTCCTTTCCATTCCCACAAACTACCAGTGCCCAAAGCATCATTTTAGATTTTAGACACTTTTGAAGTGTGTCCTTCTAGAGGCGGGTAGGAGTAATAGTTACGTATGTGCTTGGCCTGATAGAAAAAAGCCAAATTATTGTAAGAAACCATATCAGATTATACCAGGTATTTGGATGGCAAATCAATATCTCATCCTAATATTTCTAAAAAGTGTGGCACAATCATGAACCAAATTAGAGCATTTATTTAAGGTAGCTTTAGCATATCTGTGTGGTCTCAATCTGAGATGTTAGCAAGAAAATTCTTCCAGCTGATTGGCATTTACTAATATAGAAGTATTGGTTATTAGAGCTCCCAATCACAGCCTGATCCAACTAACTCAGGTTACTCAGAGCAACTGGGAACCAGAGAGCTCTGCCCAGGACTGCAGAGTTAGGTGAAGCTAGTTAGGGACCCAGACTTCTTGATCTCAGCCCGGTGCTCTTTCCATCATGACAACTGAACAGAAAGAAAAGTGGTACCTTAGTCTCAGGCATTTTAAATCATCACGTGTAACGTAGTAGAGAACATCCACTAGTGAATAATCCTCAGCCAAAAACTGTGGGGAAAGTAAAATATGCACAAAAGTAAGATCTTTTATACACTTTTAATAAGTAGCAAACTATGTAATGTAAACATTGACAATTAAGAAAAATGAATCTGAAAGGAAATCCATTAAAGATAATCGTTTGGAATTATTAGGAAAAAGTCCCCCCTTTTCCCAAATAATTCCAAAGAAATACATGCGTATGAGTTCCAAGTGCATAAAGATGACCAGCCACACAGAATTTCTGGTTGGTCTTCTAAGGAGTAGATAAGACTTGCTGGGAATTACATCTGCTGCTTCTAAGACAACATTTGTATTCAAGAGGTTTAGTGCTATGTAGCTTTATTCTTCTCAAGTGGATTAAAAAGCGTTCCTGGAAAGGTATTGCTTACACTTAATTTCTGAACTTATTTTTCATGGCTAATAAGAGATACTTTCCAATAATTACTACAAAGTCAGAGTCCTGAATTTAAGTGAAGCTTTAAATTTTAAACCTTTAACAAAGGGCAATGATTTAGTGGATCAATTACTACTCCTTAGTTGTGATGTGAGTCTAAGTTAGAGGGATAAATAATTTGGAGAACCTGATTGGATGCATTATTTCCCATAGCCAAAGGAGTTGTTTAAATTTATGTAATCTGTTATGCAGATTTCTAAGGAGACCCTGAATTTTATTTACTGGTCCAAATAATTATCAAGTCAAGAGAAAAATATCTTTATTCTTAGTTTAAAAATTAAAATATAAAACTGAAATCAATGTAATATTGCATTGGGGCCCTTTCTATAAAATAATAAAAATATAACCTCTTATAGTTCATACATGTGTATAGTTCAAACATAAAGAAATGCTCTTTGTGCTGACTACGAAAGTCCATAATGAGCAGTTATTATAGATATAACATGGTTTATATACAAAGTGTTTCTGACATAAGTTCACTAACTAGTCTATTTTGTTAAGTAGCAATAAACAGCTGTCACCCAGCGGAGTCTAAGAATGTCATAAGAGAATTTAAGGGTTAACAAACGAGAAAGAATTAGAGAAAGAAGAACTTTTCTCTTTCAGTGCTGTCTTGATTTTTCCTACTCTTCTTTATTTTCAAGTTAAAAATGTAATAATCCTTAGGGGTTCTGGACCACAGAGCTTTGCCTGCCTCACTGTCTTTGCACATTCTGCACCCCCAGCCCCGAATGGTTTTCCCTTCTTGTCTGCCCCCCGCTCCAGAACATCCATACAGATGGCCACATTTTACCCCTACATGTGCCTTTAGACATCACCTCATCCATCACCTTCTCAAGGAACTTTCCCCAACTTCTCCCTCCCTCTGTCTCATAACACCTGATAACCTTTCCTCCACAGAATTCACCAGGACATAATTACACCTGTGTCTGGGGAATGATTTGATCATCGTCTGCCTACCTAGTCTGTGAGCCCCAGGAGGGCAGGGCTGGGGCTGAGACTCCCAGCAGTGCATCCCCTGTGCCTAGCACATAGTAGGCGCTCCACAGTATGAAACAAAGTGAAAGAATGCTTGTCCCACAGATAGTTTTCCTTACCCGACTTATAGTGTCTTCATCAGCTCCGTTTTCTCTCAGCCAGTCAGTAAGTTCAGAATCTTCGGTATTTGTGCCAGGAGAATTCAGGTGGCACACAGGCAATCCAGGAATTTCTAGAACAGGATTGAGGGAAGGGAGAGACGTTCTTAGTCTCAGCTAACAGAGGTCATTGGAGACCCTCCGAGTCAACTGATATCAATACTCTAAAAGATTTTTTTCCTATCAGAGAATAGTTTGTAGAAACCACTGAGACTGATCGCATACATGATAATATAAATACAACACTTTAAAACTACTTAATATACTAGTAAATGAAGAATCAGACACAATAATGTAATGATACTCCCACCTTAAACGTTTATATCAATTTTATAGCTTCTTAGAATAAAATGGTGTACAAAAATTATACTGTGTTTCATGCAACAAAGATGAGCATAATTAGAACCATATAATTATAATAATTTCTTTTTCTACTATTTGCAATAATATGGAAGAACCATATATCTGAGCAAAAAAAAAAAATTTTTATTTTCCCCCAAATTGGCTAAATAAGATTATCTAAAGATTATCTTTGACCCCCAGTTTCTCACAGAATAGATTTCTTCAAAGTTCCAAACTATGGCTTTTTAAAAAAATTGAAATGTAATTGACATATAACACTATTAGTTTAAGGTATACCCAATCTATGACTTTTCATTAGTGTATCTCTTTTCTACTTAAGCCTTGTCAAATTATGAGCGGGGAGGGGGGTGGACCACTAGAATACACAGAATACAAATGCAAAATGACAAAAAAAACAGTATTATTTTATTCTGGTCATCTTACTGTGAAATCCTTAAAAAGAAATAAAGACAAAAAATGTGGAGAGCCCTATTTACCTAAGTAATATATAATCTCAGGAAAAGATGATTATGAATCATCTTATTTTTACTGCACTTACAAGAAATGACAGTTCGCTACAGTTAAGAATTGGGTATTTTTTTTAAAGCAATTTCTGCTTGTAGCTGTGGTACAAGTGACAGATGCTGATAAGCCATGAAATAAAGCTGCCTGTTGGCTTTCTAGCTTTTCGTGACAGCCTGGTTGAACAGTAAACAGTATTACTTTTAACACTTTCTGCTATTCACCTATCGGTTGGGACTTGAGCTTCAGGTGTTTAATTTCTTGGTCTTTTTCTTCAATAGCTTGATGAAGGAGTGCTTGTAATTCTTTCTCTTTCTGAACCAATTCTTCCAATAATCTGCAGAAGTAAATTATATTGGTTGACAGGATAATAAAGTTGGAGCAGACACAGAATGACCTTCTACACAAGGGCTTCTCAAGCTGTAAGGAACACCGACACGGCACACCCCTGGGATTTTACTGGAATGCAGATTCTGACCCAGCAGC